CCCCAAAACCCCAAAACCCCAAAACCCCAAAACCCCATTAATTAGCCAATATTTGAAATATTATTAAAAATGAGTAATAATCATAACAAATCTCAGAGCTCAGGTAAGATATTCCATCAACAATTTGGCAAACTTTCTGGTATAGGCAAGGTTACTTATGGAGATAGTTCAATAAGCAACCCTGGCTTTGACCCAAGAGAGATCCAGATGAATGAACAAGGCCAGCTGATTGATAAGAAAGGAAATGTTATCCATATTGAGACCAAAGGGCAGAAAAATAACAAGTCTAATGCCAGAAAGATGAGGAATTTACAGAGAAGACAACAGTTCAAGCAAAAGAAATTCAAAAATAATAGCGAGTTTTATGACCCTGATCTTGAAGATAATGCTTCAAAGAGGAGAAATAGGAGAAAAATTATGGGGCTTCATTTTAGCGAACCTGGAAGCCATATCAAGAGAGCTGAAATGATCAGGAATAGGCAAATGAGCAAGAAGGAGGAAGAGAAGAAGACAGAAGCTCCCCCTCCTCCAACAGAAACCAAGATAGATGCCAAAGCTGAATTATTGAGAAGAATTGACAAACTAAAGCCTCTTGATCCTCTCCCAGATGTTGAATGGTGGGATGCCAAATTGCTTCCTGAAGGAGTCAAAACTTTCTCTGTTGGGGACCCAAATAAGGAAGGCTTCAAAATAACCGAGGAAGATTTTAACTCATCAAAATGCACTAATCTAATCCATCATCCAATCCCAACCAAGAATCCATGAGTTGAAGCAATAAGAGGGAAGACAAAGATCTTATTGACAGATAAAGAGAAGAAAAGGCTTAAAAAGTTGAGAAAAGCTGAAAAAGTCAAAGAAATACACGAAAAGATCCATCTAGGATTAGTCCCAGCTCCAGAGCCAAGACTCAAGATGTCTTCATTCATGAGAGCAGTAACTGCCCAAGCAGTTGCTGATCCTACCAAAGTAGAAAGAGAAGTCAGAAGGCAGGAAAAAGAGAGACAACAGAAGCACATCGAACATAATGAGAAGAGAAAACTCACCAAAGCTCAAAGAGTCGAAAAATTTAAGGCCAAAATGGAGAGAGATGCTAAGAAAGAGACTTGGACTGCTGTTTTTAAGGTTCACACTCTCACTGACCCTAAGCACAAATTTAAAGTAGACATGAATGCTCAACAACTGTACCTAAACGGATGTCTGATCAGCACAGATAACCTCTCAGCCCAGGGAGGAATGCACTTCCCCAACCTGGTCGTTGTAGAAGGTGGAAGAGTCGCAGTCAGAAAATATAAAAGACTTCTCTTAAGAAGAATAAAGTGGGTCAAGAAAGAAGGTAGTGATAGTGAAGAAGACTCTGAAGATGAAGCCCAAAAGAAATTGGATTTGGTTTCTACTGAACGTTGCGCCCTTATCTGGGAAGGGCCTCTTATGGAAGGCTTCTTTGATAAATGGAAAGTTGTGGAAATTGAGAATGAACATGAAGCTCTGAGAACCTTGAATGAAAGAGGTTGTGAACACTACTGGTCAAACATGCTTAGTCATAAGATTGAGTAGTTTCAACTATTTGCTCTCTATTTGGGGTTTTGGGGTTTTGGGGTTTTGGGGTTTTGGGGTTTTGGGGTTTTGGGG